ATGTTACCACTTATTTTAATATTTGAGACAAATTACAATCATCCTTCCAACGTGTTGACATTTAAGACCTTTGAAAGATTGATTTAAGGCTAATTAAGGCCTTAACTTTAGATTGATAAATTCAATGCCTTTTAAGACTTTAAGAATCTGTGGGAACCCTGTAATATTTAATTTTTTTGTGAAATAAGAATGTATGCTCTGTAAGACATTACTGTGAGCAACCACTGCCCCCCACTGGATAGTTTTGGGATTGTGCACGAGCCTTACCATATTCCCCAAACCGCAGAGAGTCCCATTGTCTCCACTCCACAATAGCACTGACAGCTCGTACTCCTGCATATATTAGCAACATTCCCAGAGAAGCATCTAAAAGGAAGTTAATGAGGTATCTATGGGGGAAAATGTAAACACATTTAAATCTCCTGGTAAAGTTAAAAAACTAATAAAAAATCAGTTTGTTCATGATTTTTGTGGTGTGTTGAATCAGGACGCTCTGAATAGAACCACTCACAGTGAGCAGGGATCCTGTTCTGTGAGGTCTGACAAGTAGACGTTAGCAAAGTGGATGAACAGCATCCCAATAGCTTGTTTGGAGGTGTCCAGGAACCTGCACAGACACAAGTTGAGTCCAACTTAATCTAGTAATAAATAAAACAATGCTGTTTGTCAGAACTCGTCTCTCTCTTAGCCAAATTACCAGATCTTCCAGGGCCTCCTCTCATGTTTGGGCTCCCTGAAGCGTTTCACTGTAAAAGAAAAGGAGTAATCAGTCGGAAACTTGACATCATTTAAACCACACCTAAAAACAGGCTTTACCAATGACGATCTCCTCTGTTTTCATTTGGCTAAGAAATACGGGTGTGACCAAACTAAGCAACAAGTAAAATGACTTGCTCTTTAGATCAAAACTCAAAGCTGGCATAACAAAGATATGAACATTTTTTTAGTTAGTTCCACTAAAGAGGAAACAAGTAAAAGGTCATTTAAAGTCAAAAAGGAAACCAGAACAAAGTAATTTTCCAGAATCTGGGCGTCAAAATGGCATATTTAGTTTAATAAAAAGTAAAAGAAAACAATAAGAAGATATTGCAAATTTGGCATAAGACAACCTCATCTGGTGATGCAGAGGAAAAGTTTGTGTAACACGGGAGCGCTCGGTTAAATAACAAATACTCTGAGTTGTAAACTATGTTTTTAATTTACTGCTTCAATCAGTCCTTTTTACAACCTCAGTGAGATGTTTTGTACAGAGACCCACAGCAGTGACATAAATTAAGCTCCTCCTCCTCTTCACAATAGCTTCTTGTTTTCTGTGAAGCGTTCACCTGCGATGACACCAGCTGTAAACTGTTGCAAACCTATGAAATTTCAGCTGAACAAACAATCTCAACTTTGCAAAAGTGAAGCGCGAGCTGCAGTTTTCACAAGTATTAAACAGAGAGGCTTTTTGTTTTGAAGGAGCCAAACACTTSTACAAGTTATGACCTCAGTTTCAGACTCAAACACGCCCTTGTGTTGGAGCTGGGTGTGATGTGAATGCAAGCCAACGCTTCAGCCTCCGCTCACTGAGCGGCCTTGCACACAAATAAACAAAACAAACAAACAGAACTGAACAGTTCTGCTGACTGAGATGCAGTTCCAGCATAAAAAGATAAGATTTCTTCAATTTGGTTACAGCTGATGGAGCAATTTTSACAAAAGGGTTTTGTTTCCTCTGTGCTGACATGGACCCATCTGGCTGAACAGCTTGAAGAAGAGAAAGTCAAATTAGCCAGAGGTGAAAACACAAACACGTCTCTAGAGTGGAAATAGGAAAATTAAAAATAACAAGAAAATTAGCTTTCTGTAACAGCCAACAATAGTGGAGTCTAAAACTTAACATCACCTGTAGTAAAAAGTCTAGGACCAAGGTGTGAATTGATTTTAGGTTAGGTTTAGGGTAAATGGTCAGGGTTAGGCTATAAAATTACCAGAAAATGAATGGAAGTCAATCCACAGTCCCCATGGGGATATAAAAACAAACCTTTGTATGTGTTTTACGAAAATACCTCAAGAACTATTGGACAATTTAAAGAAGGTATGTCCTGCTTTTAAATCCTTCTTTCGCATTTAACTCATTCAGTGGTGTCTATATAAAGTGAAACTGCAATCTTTTTGGTCTGAATTCCTCTTTATTGYAACTCCACAAGCCCCTCTTTCTACTCTTTTCTGAGGTCTGTCTCAAATCAACTCGTTTTGATGCTGTGTCTTTAAATCCAAAATAAGGTGCTTCAAACCCCGCCCCCCGTCCAGCTTCCACACTGGTCCACTCCAGTTTGAGAGAGGGGTTTACAATTATCTAGTAGCGCAGTTCCATCGCAAATACTGTGATGTAATAGTTCAAAAACATAACAGAAAACAGGTTGAAAAATATGACTCAAACAGAATATAAAGATATGTACGCAGCACCAGGAGAGACGAAATTAAACTTTTCTGCACTCCTACTCCAAATACACAACATAATGCATTTAACGGGTAAAAATGTGGATTTTGCATGATATGCTGCCTTTAAATGAAAATTTCAGAGGGAAATCAATGGATGTACATATACAGCTGATTAACAGTAAATACAATTCAACATAACTGACGCAGCTCTCTACATTAGCAAACACTAACGCAGATACTAAGCTAATATTTGATGATGTAAAAGCTAGGGATGTCCCGATCAGATACTCAGTATTGGTGGCAGATACGGCCATTTTTTTTGAAAATCGGGTAGAATCAGATTTAGTCATGTGATCGGGCCGATCCAGTTTTCGCGACAGTTTTCAGCATCATCATGCTTTACAACTGCCGTTAAGAAGTCAACACGCACACAAGTATGAAACCATGTCCACAGTGTGGGAACACTTTTCAATGGAAAACAATGTTGCTGAAACTGCATCTTGCAAAATCTGCAAACTGGATGTTTCTCATGGTGAGAACAGCAGGGCTCGCTTTAATACTACCAACCTTGTCACTTGGAAAGAAATAGAGAAATAAAGCTATTGTATCAGTATCGGATCGGTATCGGAAAGACTAATCATTAAAAAAATCGGATTGTAACGGGAGCCAAAAAATCTGGATCGGGACATCCCTAGTAAAACCTAACAACATATCACAATTTCATTTCATTATCACATCATTTTCAAGGTTTGACCAAAACAGCTACAACTCTGTCATTCCTCAACACAACATAGTCTAAAGTATAAAATGCTGTGGTCGATATACATTCCTCTAAGCAATGCTAGGCTTTTAATACTTTATGAGCTTTACAAAGTAAATCAGCAGGCATGTGCTCAGCACAGTTTAAGGGAACTTTATTGTAGTAAACAATGGTCCTTCCTCTGCCATTACTTCCCTAWAGACATTTTTGTATTTTTATTGAATACTGAATTTATGTTGTTTTGTTTTAAATTAATAAACTTTATAATAAAATTATTTATGGATTGGTTGTAAAGATCTAACATTTTGTGCATGTCATGATTTCATTTTGAAATATCTAGATATAAGTTTTACATGATCTAATTATTAGAAAATACATTTTTCCCGCTCTCGTAACTGTACAAGGTTACACAAATTCTCTTTAGTTCCATCCATTATCTTTACCCGCTTCTTCCTTTCAGGGTCACTGGGGTCACTGGTGCCTATATCCAACAGTCAATGTGCGAGGGGCGGGGTACACCCTGGACAGGTCTGAAGTCCATCACAGGGACATATAGAGACAAACAACCATTCACTCTCTCACTCATATCTATGGACAATTTAGAGTTACCAATTAACCTAACTGTAGGGTCGGGCAATATTGGCAAAACAATTAATCAGAATTAATTGGGGTATGTAGCCGATAACGATGAATCCCCTGGATGCCTGCATAGCCTAGYCACATGACCAATTTAGCTCCCTCTAGTGGGAAAGATCTGCGCTCTGTAAAAATCTGTTCCAAATTGTGTTACAAGTACAGACTTCAGCCTACACATAAAGTTTTAAATTGTGTTGATAGACCAAATAAAACTGGAGTTATAACAAATAAATTACAGAACTTTTTAGAAAAATGTTTGTCATATTTGAAGCGGAGAGGAGCATCGAGTTGACTGACAGGGGAAATTTCCAAAGGCATTAATCATATTAATTGTCAAGTGCCAAAAAAGAGTCCATTAAAGTTTTTCTAATGATTATGTGCACACGATACGATTTTGCCCAACCCTACCTTTAGTTCCTGTTTGATCAAATTAGTCATTGGACTGGAAAAATACAAGTGCGTTGTAGATTTAAACAAATGAGGAAAAACTTGTGTTTCAGCTTTGTGTTGTGTCTTTCCGTGGAACATTTTAAACCAGTGTCATCCTGGTCCTGAAGTTCTGCATGTTATCAAGGTTCCTCTGCTCCATCACATCTGATTTGAATGAACAGAAGATTAACAGGTCTCTGCAGAACTTGAAAAAGGTAGTTCAGTCGCTCACTCAGGCATGGCGGAGCAGGGTAAACATGTACGATAGCAGAGTTGTAAAGTAACCAAGTACAAATACTTTGTTACTGTACTTAAGTAGAAATTTTGGTTATCTGTACTTTACTTGAGTAATTATTTGTCGGCATACTTTTTACTTTTACTCATTACATTTTTACACAGTTATTTGTACTTTCTACTCACTACATTTTTTAAAAAAGTAGTAGAAAGTCGTTACTCCTTTTTTATTCAGAGTTGTTATTACTTAAAAAAATAATATCCTGATAAATTGTGTCTCCTGGATAGAGTCAATTTAATTGTGGTTGGATAAGAAGTATACTTACCATTCTGACACACTATTAGCTTGTACACAACCCATGACAGCTGCACGCCGATAAGAAAAAAATATTTTTGGAGAAGTCACCTCCCAATAAATGTCATTTTGGAGAATCTAACAGCTCACTTTTACTCAGTACTTTTAATACTTAAGAAGATTTTGTGTCAGAAATTTACTTTTGATACTTAAGTACAAAGATTATCAGATACTTTAAGAATTTTACTCAAGTAA